GTGTGTGTCCACTGATGTGTGTACCCGTCCACGTGGCGTCTCTGTGCTTACCATCAGGCAACTTGGTTCAGGGAACTGGTGTCCGAATCCCCGCCCGCAGCCCTTTTATGCGGCGGCGGCGCCGGCGGCCTTGTGGCGCCACTGCCTTCATGACGCAGACTTACGCCGGGAGTTACGGCGCATAAGCATCGTGAAAATGCTATTCAGGGAAAGCTCGAGGAAAGGTCTTTAACTGTCCACTCCCGATAATCTGCGCAATAAAGATGATTTGCACAATGTTAACTCCTACGTTACTGCTTCGTATGGTTTTCTTTATCTGCACACGCACACCCGTATTCATACATGGTAGAGGTAAGGTGGCTTTAATATTTACGGAAAAACAAGTACCTTTATGCCTTTATATTACTGTTCTTATTACTGATAGTGTCATCACATCGACACTGGTAGTGACAACATGAATGTTTAAAACAGCAATAACTGTCATATAAATAAAATCTTCACCCAAAAAAGATTCAGTGAAATGGGTGAATAGGTCAGATCAGGTAGACCTAGTAATTAACTCTTTAACAAACCGCCAAAGTCGTCTTCTCTTGTCACAGGGACTCAAAAACAAGCATTTCATAGTCACACGGAACCTTCTACGTCATGGGGATGGTAGTAAGTAATTATGCTAATCCTTTTATAATATTGGAGTATATATTTCATGATTGTCACAGTCATAACTTGGTTATATATTTGCTTTTAATGATGAATATATTGCTATTTACATGCATAGATATCTATGTATTAAGGCAAGATCAAGTAAAACTACCCCAATCCGCATTAATCGCGTAGAGAAGGCTGAGCGAGATGCCAGTCGGTCTCTCGCTCGCTTAGCTCTAGCCTCGCGGGTCTGTGCCTGTGTAGATACTGACCTATTGCGTTATTATGATACTAAAGTGGTGGAAGATAAGCGTGTTTCGTTATCCATTCCACAACGTGTGTTTATTCCAGGTGTATTTGATATATTCTTGAACTAGAACGGTCTAAAGAATAGACAGAAAGAAAGCGTCGCTAATGCGATTAAAGTACTATCGAAAAGTAAGTGCTCCACCTTAATGAACTAAGCAATTACGAAATTATAAGAAAATAGTGAAGCGGTGACACTGTCCTGGGATCCCAAGACCCACGCCTAGTGTGTGTCAGCTACAGAGCGGGACTGGTCACTATGCAGTGTCCCTCCGTGGAAAAAGTTCCGGTTTAGACATTCAGGTAATAAGCTTCCTAGGAATTATACTACAGTTTTTGTTTTGGCATCATCTTTCCCCCTCCAGCTAGGACGAAAGACCAACACAGCGCTGCCGCTCTGGGAAGGGACATTATCTCATTTCCCTTCACAGCTGGGAAAGCATCCCGATCTATGAAGGGATCCTGGACAGAATAGACTAATGTGACTGTCCCTTTAGTGACAAAGCACTTGTAAGGGCATACGTTGTAAACAAACTTGTTAATGCATAACTACAATCGACATCACAAATAAATTATCTCTCTTAGACTAAGACCTAGGTTCAGGTCTTCGGGGGCCTTCTAAAAGATCCTGTCCAGTTAACAGATATTCCCATTGAGGGTACTAATGTCACAGGCAGCTTTGTCCGTTTTGGTCGTGTAGTTCTTAACTGCGCCGTAAGACTAGGAAGTCAACTGGTGCAGTCGTCAGGCAGCAGTAGTCAAGAATTCTCTTGATATGGGTCTTGGAGATTCCATTACCTGAGCAGAAACAGCAATCTATAAATTTTTAAGGCACTGATATTGCCGATTTTGCTGTATGACACCAAATCTGAACATAAACCATCCTTGGCACCTTTTCCGACAGGTACTTCGTTGGACCATAAGGTGTAGGTGGCGAGACCATGTGTTCACTTAACAGCTGAACTGTGAGACCAGCATGTAGGACTTATTACATACTCCAAGACCACAGCCATTTGGGACATATTACTCTCACATTCTAAGACCACAGCCACAGCTCACAGTTCAGCTCTTAAGTGAACACATTGTCCCGCCACCTACACCTTATGTCCAATGAAGGACCTGTCGGCTTCCCCGACTTCACCGGCGGGCGTGGCGCCACCCTAGTTTCCGGTCCTGCAACCTAAGAAATAAATGAGAAGAACCCACACTCTCTACTTGCAGCAGAACAGAGTACGTACTCTACCTTGTGCGGACCGAAACTATACCCACGTGAACAAGTTCTTGGAATGCGTAACACTCTATCAGCCCAAATGACCAAGTTCTTGGAATGGGTAGCGCTCTATCAGCTCAGATATCATGCCCTTCTTGTCCTGAAAGGAGGCCCACGTTCAAACAACCAGGACATATTTAGGATGGTTCGAATGTGAGAAGGAGGAAATCAGGCAAAGAAATGCAACAATGACTGAAATATGGATAGGAAGAAGGATCGCTTTTATTCCTGTTTAATTTGTAATTCAATGGATATATTGGAAACCTGCTGTAAAAAAAAACTTATTTGATATCATTTCGAAAATAATTATCATGAAGTTTTATCACATCGTTTCATTTTAATTCCTTATCGTATTTTCTATATATGAAAATCCTTAAACATTGTTGGAACTGTCTAGTCATTTCAATATTCGTCAGACGGAAATATCTTTCGTTTGCATTATCCCAGAGCCGTATTATTATGCACTGCATTATCCTAAGCATCTACTCTCTCTCCGTCATCTGTATTTCTGTGGGACACCTTCAAGCGCGAAACGCTTGATGCAGCCCAAGAGTCGATTGGTGATGCCGAGGACAATACAGAATTTTATCTCACAGGAGACACCAGAAGCCACAGATGCTTGCCGTGCGGCTTGTCTGACAGGGGATCGGGAT